TCGATTTGAGAATTTCGATTTCTAATTTTTAATTTTTCTAAATTTTAGTACATTCAAATTTATTACTTTGACGATTTTGAGTTTGGGTTTATTTAAAAACTATTGATTTTGAGCTTTTGGAGGTGAAATTTACATGAATTTTGCAACTTTGTGTTTGTTGAGACTTTTTAATTTTTCGATATTTGTTTTGCTCAGTTTTTTATGTTTTTTTTTTGCCTTTGAGGTTGTAGATTACTAATCTGTTTTTAGAATCTGCTTCGATTTTTCAGTTTTGCTCAATTTTCATCAATTGAGCTTGTGTTTATTTAATTTTTTTTTAATAGATTTTTGAGTTTGAGGTCAACGATTATGTTGGATTTTCGACTTCTAATTTTAAAATTTTCTAAACTTTAACACATTAAACTTTTCTACTTTGACAGTTTTGAGTTTGAAATTATTTAAAAACTCAGGATTTTGAGTTTTTTTTAAATTTACATAAACTTAACCAATTGTCATAGTTTTTTTTTTTGATTTTTCAATTTTCAGATAGTTGTTTTGCTTAATTTAAGTTTGTGTTTATTTCAATCTTTCAATTTTTTATAGTTTTTTGAGTTTTGCTCAGTTTTTACTGAAAATAATCGCCATGTATTCCACGATTTCGAGACACTAAAATAACACTCCATCAAACTTAAAAAACTGACAAAAATCCGACATAAAACGCAAAGACGATTCGGTTGAAATTCTTGATAATTTCACAATTTACGATGCGATATGACGATTTATGCTCGTTGTGTTTTTATAATGAAGAGATGAGAGAGCGGAAAAAATTCCTTAACGGCGCACCATTAAAAATAATTGCCTTTTTATCAGATTTGGAGAGGATTAAAAGAGAGAAACGAGTTAAATCCGGAGAAATGAAATTAATACTTTTGACTAAATTCCTCGTCAACAAAAAAAGCACACACAAACTGTCAACATCAAACGAAGATATTTCAATGTTTCCAATTTCAACGAAACTCATTACTACAATTAAAATAGGAAGTGAACAAAGTCCTGAAACGCTGAACCAGACAGAGACTCTGCTTAATAGAAAGCTCGTTGAAAACATCGAGCAAATGAGTCTATGGAGTGGCTGGAATAATTTAAAAAAATCCATCTCGGGCATTATTTCGAGTTGCATCGAAATGCACTTCAAAAGCATTGTTCGACGAGCTACGACCGATGCAATTAAAACATGCAGTTAGAAATTTACATTTCATAAACACAACGGTTTTACGTTGGAGAAATTTCTTATTTAACAAAGAGAGAAAAAAAAACACAGACGTTTCATTTAAAAAACGACATATTTGACGATGAGTTAATCCAAACATCGAGACTATTCTACGACCCAAACAAAGCAAATATAATCAACAAACCACTTGCTTCCTACAACATTAATAAAGCACAATTATACTTGTAAATAAAACCAGATAGCTGACCGAAAACTCGTCCATTCAAACTTTACAATCGTAAATTTACACTCCTCGAAGTTAAACCTATACAGGGCGGACCAATAAAAAAATTGCAGGTGCAATAGACTACAGAATTAAACAGAAGAGTTTTTCTCCCGGCGCATCCACCATTTTTATCATACACATTATTGTGTCCCAACGAGTTGATAAAGTCGGTTTTTATCTTTTAAGTGTTTAAAAATGTCTGTAAAAAGTACAAGTATACAAGGTGTTTGAAAAATAAATTACAATGCAAAACTTAGAAAGGAAGAAAAAGTAATAGAGAAGGAGAGAGATAGAGACAGATGGAACTTGTCCATTTAAACCTGCAGTCGTAAATATACACTCTTACATACACAGGGCGTATCAATAAAAAAATTGCAAGCTTAATAGGCCACAAAAATTAACAGAAAAGTGTTTTTTTTATTGTCGTTTTTATACAGTGTGTACCAGAACTTGCACCCCAGAGAACAATGTAAGGTAAAGTATCAAGAACCTGAAAAAAATATAAAAAAAATTCTATCTATAAAAATTTCGAAGTTATGAGAGTTTGCACTTTGACTCTGTTGGAAAAATAATTTTCCAGGTTTCCAACTTTGTTTAATGTTATTTGTGGCTTTTTATTTTTATTGGCAAAATTTTACTAAATAATTATAAAAGACATATATTATATTACATACAAACATATAAATAATTAGTATTATTAAATAGACATAAAAAATGTCAAATGTCAAAAAATAAATGGCAAAATTTTTTGACGGGAGTTTTTTAAACAGTTTTTCTATGTTCCTGGTATCTTAACTTACATGACATTTTTTTTTGGGACGCGAGTTTTGGCGCACCCTGTATACAGAGTGTTCCAGCAATTTGGCAATAGTACATTACAGGGCAAGGTATAGAAAAAATTATTTAATGGCCGAACTCTTTAAAAAATTTTGTTTACTGTTCTTGGTAATATTTTCTTTTAAAAAGATAGAAAAATGTTGATTTTTTTAGAAAATGACCCATAACAAAAATAAGAGTTTTGTGCATTACTTTTGGTTCACCCTGTATAACCTTACTTAATGGGCTTGTTGCTTCAGACATAATATGTCGTAATACACAACTTTTATTTTTGTTTATTTATGTTTTATCTATTAGAAATTTTCTAACTTCATAACATGAAATATGTTTAAATAAGAAAGAAATTGCAAAGAAAAGTGAAAAAATGTTAAAATTTGTATTTTTTCAACATGAAATAAGCCCATTTAAGATGGTTCTATGCTGATGTTTTTTAGTGAGGAAATTTAAATTTATTTGACTCAATGTTAATGTCAGTAGAGAAAGTAGTCTTTTATCGTCTAGTGAAATAAAGTAATTTTTATCTACTATTTATATTCTTTATTTTGTACAAGAAATTCTTGAAGGTGAGTACAAAATAAAACGAAATATTATACATGACGATAAAAATTGTGTATCTACTCGTGAAAAAAGTCCACTCGTGACTTCGTCACTCGTAAACTTAAATTTTTCACTCATAGATAAACAATTTCTTTATCGTCTTATATAATAAATAACTATTTTTATTTGGTTTTGCCTTAATTTCACTTCGAATTTCTTTGATTAGTACTTGTGATAATAATAGTTTTAAATAATAATATTCTAGATATATTTTTATCAACGTACTTTTCTTCAATATCGGTATTTATCTACCATTAAAAATTTGATTATTAAAAAAAGATTATGAAAGAAAAATCAGTTCACAACCTTTCAACAAACTAAATAATGACCTTTTACAACTAGTGAAAAACATTATTATTTAATTATACAAGTGTTCCAAAAATAAGTTACAATACAAACTTTGGAAGGAAGAAAAAAAGAGAGGATAAAGTGAGATGAAAAAAGAAACAGAGAAATAGAAAGAGAAAGAGTGTGTTAAGCAATACTGACATATACAGTGTGTACAAAAAAAAATAAAGGTGCAATAGAACACAAAAATAAACTGAGAAGTATTTTCCCGGCGCATCCACCATTTTTATCGGCATTTTGACCTCCAGAGTCTCCTAGCGAGTTGGTAAAGTCAATTATTGACATTTAAATGTTTAAAAATGTTTGTACTAAACACATAGATATTCCCTCTGTGCTCATATATACAAAGTGTTTCTAAAAGAAGCTACAATGCAAATTGTTTATTTTTAATGAGACACGCCATGTTTTAAGTCGATTAACTTTACCAACTTGCTGAGGAAAGTAGATTGAAAAGTAGAACAAAATTATAATAAATGTTTCATGAAACATTAGCTTGAAACTCGCAAATTACCAACGTAATATTTAACGTGTAGTAAATGAAAATTTGTTGGATTAATTTTTCAGACGTGGGTTATTAAAACAGTAGAAAGGCGCAAAAAAATGTTTCAAAAATGATTTGGCTTATTGAAACATATTAATAAAGCCAAGTGTTTTAGCATATTAAATTTAAACTTAAAGCCGGATTAGCTACTTTGTGTTGAGTTGTTAAAGTAGCAAACTTTTTCGAACAAGTTTCTAAATACAAACTTTGATGTCGTTTGCGATTATTTCATTATTTTCGATTCGATTTTTCTGACTCGGTGTGTGTTTAAGCTTCGTTGAGCATGTTTGATGTCCTCCTGTTGAGACAGTTCTTGTAAGTTTTTTTTATTCAATTTCAGAACGGCGGTGCCAAAGATGGATTGGACATGAATCTGGCGCCAGCCTGGAAGAAAGGCTACACTGGTAAGGGAGTCGTCGTGTCAATCCTCGACGACGGAATACAAACTAATCATCCGGATTTGGCTCAAAACTACGTAAGTGATGGCGTGGAAAAAAAATTACAAGGTGCTACTATGACTTGTAAATGAGGACGTTATTGATTTTCCTCGGTACTTGTTTTGTTAAGTTGGTTTTTTTTTTCTCCTCCTTTTCCTTCTTTCAGTCGAGGAAAAATCTCACCTGTACGTGACACGTCTCTTCCTAATTTAGTTTTTCTCTCGTTTATGCAAACGCATCCGGGAAATTTATCGAATAATTAGGAAAATCGTAAATCAAATATTTGGACGGTAGTAAAGTCATTTAGCCAAATTAACAGAATATTGATTGGTGGTGCGCTTGTTTGCCTAAAGTTTTTTCAAAGCGTGTTCACCCAATAACAGTTAATTTGCTTTTAATTAAAATAACAAAGAGCGGTCACAATAGCCAACTAACTTATTATTTTGTGAGAGGAAATTATGCTCCATCAAAGTGAGTCAGTAACACAAAAAATTGATTTTTTTACTGAAAATTTCGCAATTTTTATTTTTTTTTAATAAAACTTCAAACGATTAAATTTGATATTGTTTTAAAACTAACAAATCAACAAAATATTTGCACAGCCAGCAGTACGATTATGTTTTTAAAATTTGAAATATGTAATTAAACAGTGATGAATTTTATTATTTAACAATTTTAATTTCTATTTGATTTATAGTTTCATGGTTTGCTTGAAAAACTGAAACTTTTAATATTCTTAAAATCGAATTTTTTTTAAAACTCAATCAAGGCAACAAACTTCGATATAAAACACAATTTTGTATTATCTAGGGATTTATGTGTTTTTTTCATTAGAGAGCCAAAAAGAATTCTTAATCAGGAAAAATTTTGAAAGCAAGGGCTAAAAAATTGAGTACAATATACTATAAGTACATTTTTTCTGAGATTTTCGCGAGAAAATTTGGATGTTTTACTAGAATAAACATTTTTTTACATAATAATTTAAGAAATTCGATAATCCGAAAAAATGCAAAAGTGCGAACAGATTATTCTATGCTCGTGCCGATGGTCGATGTTGTACTGTATTAAATTTTGTATCAACAGGCTAATGAGAATCAATAATTTTAAAACTTTAAATTTTTAAATTTCTTTCACCAGAAAACATTTTGAAAAAAGTTGACAATGACACAGAGAAAGATGATTTTTCTAGACTATTTCCTGAAAATTTTATGAATTATTATATTTTTGATAAATCCACACGATTGATTAAATTTAATACCGTTTACAAATTAATAACACAATAAATCAACAAAATATTTACACAGTCAGTACTGTTATGTTTTTCAAATATGAAATATTGTAATTAAACAGTAATGAATTTTGTAATTTAACAATTTTGATTTCAATTTCATTTATTGTTTGTTTTAAAAACTGAATATTCCTGGAATCGAATTGCGGATTTTTGACAAAATTCGATCAGTGCTAAAATTTATATAGGGTTGGAAAAGCAAAAAACTTCTATATGAAACACAACAGAGAGAAATTTTTTTTATAGTTTTTATAGTTTTTTTATAGAAAAGTTTTTTATAGTTTCTTTACTAGAGTGCCAAAAATCAGGAAAATTTTTGAAAAATAACGCTATAAATGTTGAAAAAAGAAGAGTTTTCTGCACGAATTATTGAGGTTGCACTGTATTAAGTTTTTAATCTACAAGCTAATCAAAATGAAACGAAAATTTTGATTTCAATTTGATTTATTGTTTGAAGCGTTTTTAATTTTCCGGATTCTACAGTACGACCTCGATTATCCGACTCCACCATGATGTGAATTCTTAATTAAAATACTGAAACACAAAATTTTGAATATTCTTAAAATCTAATCGCGGATTTTTGACAAAACTCGCAATTTTGAGTTTTGCATTAACAAAAAATTGCCAAAAAAAGTCTTTTTATGGTTTCTCTATTAGAGAGCTAACAATAATTTATTCTTAATCAAGAAGAATTTTCAAAAGAGAGTAAATTTTTAAACACGTTTTCTTTTATTCTGACGAGAAAATTTATGTCTTATTACAATAGACATTTTTACAAAACAAAATAAAAAATTGGATAATGCAAAAAAAGTGTCAAGTCCGAACACAGACTTAATTTTTGAAATTAGCCGTTTATCCAATAGTACAAAAAGCATTTTTTTAAAGGAGGAAATATTTTTTATCAAATTTTTAAAGAATAGACTACATTTTTAAAATTTGAGGATATAAAATATACAGGTTTTTTAGTAATTATCTTTGCGAGGAAATTTATATGTTTTATTAGTAAATACTTTTTTTTTTCAAAAGAAAATAAAGAATTCGATAATCTCAAAAAAGTCCGAACAGTATTCCTACTCTCGTGCGGATTATCGAAGTTGCACTGTATTAAATTTTATATCAACAAGCTAGTCAAAATCAAACGAAATTAACCACTTAGTAGTACAGACATCATTAAAGAAATTACTCTAAAAACATTAAATAACTATGATTTATTAGAATTACTGAA